AAATTCTTCTTCCCCTTTACTCCCCCTCCCAATGAAATTGAAAATCTCTGATTACCCTTCCCACCAGAGAGATCCTTCAGTGTTGAGGACACCCAGGGAAGATTCTGGAAACTATCATGGGTGTGGAGACCCAACGTCATTGGGTCTTTCTCCCCAAGTGTTCCTAAGGGCCTCCAAGAATTCCCTAACAGCCTGAGAGTTTTGCCCTGAGCCTTAGACTCCTGGCAGTGCCAACTGGAAATTCCAGAAGTTAAGCTTCCGAGGCAAGTAGTCCCCGGGGTAGGATATGATGACTGAGGCCTGACCAAATTAGCGAGGGTCCATGCACAAGATGGAATACTGTACAGCCTTTAAAAATTACAGAGACCACATGGCATAGAGAAACATGCAGTGTGATCCAAATCAAATATATGCCCTAGATGTTAATATTCCGGAAGAGCTTAATTTTCTTTTTTAAAATAATTTTCAATGTTTTAAAAAGATCCTTAATAAAATACACAATATGAATGGCTGCTATTCACTGCTCTGTATGTAATTCCCATGAACTATAATTAACTGTACATTATTACAGGTGAAAATATCATGCAGTAAACTGTTGCAATTGTGATGTGTGTGGTGCTTTGGGAACACCCTGTGCTTCTGAGCTCATAGCAACAAACAAGAATCTTTATTCTCTTTTTTAAATATATGTTAAAAGCGGTAACCTGTTCAGAGCAACCATAACGGGGTTAGGGTCACTCCATTATCGGTGGTATCATGGGAGGACGTGGCAAAGAGTTCAGACTCAGCGTGCTCAGAGTCCAGGAACCTGGGCTTCTTGGGGAGGGCACTGAGTGTCATAGGCAATGTGCCCTTCTCCGAACAGCCACTAATGGACATGACTGGCTGCTTCGGAGCTGAGCAGCCTCCCTTCCTCCCATGCTCCTCTTTAATGGTGCACTCACCATCCTTTGTCCCTTCTATTAAATCAGGCTGGAAGAGAACTGACACTGACCCAATTTTATTGAGATTGATTTCAGTAAACTTTGCAACAAGATGAGGCCTGGCTGCTTTACATCTCTCTCTTCCTCTGTCTTTCTCTTTAGACAAACCCAATTAGTCCTGATCCCTCTACATTTCTGACAAGGGATCAGCAAATTGTTTAGGTCAGAAGCAAAACACCTTCTGCGGAGGCTGTGAGGACACTAAATAAGATTTAGTCTGGGGACAAATGGACATGTGGTTATTATTCAACTAGTGACCTGGTGCACGGATTCATGCACATTGAAAGGAAATTAATTAGAAGGTGGCTGGCGGGGTGAGACTAGGCAAGACAGGCTGGGCATGTCCTGGAGCTAACCTCCCCGATCTCTCCCAGGCTGGCTGCACCTGGAGCTGCGCCATGGCTCAAAGGGTGTCTGCTGAGTGAATGGGGTCCCTCCAGCAGGTGGGGTCCCTCAGCCTGGCCTGCAGGGATCAGGCCGAAACTGGCTCTCTGACATTCCCTGAGGGGTCTGTGAGTGTGAGAGGGATACTCTGCAAAGTTGCTGTCTACAGAGTGTGGAACGTAAATGCAAGTGTGCGTTAATCCAGATTCAGGGCCCACAGTGCCCCAGCAACAACATAATCCATGGCTGAAGGTGGAATCACATGGCCCCAGGAGGAATCGGGCTCTCTCCTCTCTGGTTTTGGGGTGCGTCACCCGAGAACCGCTGCTGCCAAGTCACTGCAGCTCAGAAGCTCCTGCGTTAAGCGTCTGCCCCCTGGTGGTCAGTGGATGTCATAGCTACTGGTCGGATGGACACTTAGCATATTAGCTTTTTATATATATAGATATGCAGTATTCTATTATTTATTCGTTCATCTATCCAGAAAATATTTATTATATATGCACCGTTACATGTATAATATTACAAGGAATGGCACATACAATAGATGCTACAGAGGCTGTAAGAGGTACCCTGGGTGTTATGGAAAAACAGAAGGCTAGTTCTCTAGTCACTTGGCATTTTAGTGTTGGGAAGGCTGGCAAAAGTTCCATTCTGAGTCATGAAGGATGAGGCCTAAAAAGCAGACAAGAGGGGAGTGAAGCGTTCCAGGTTGAGGAAACAGCAGGCTCAGAAGCTCAGAGGTAGACAACAGCACGACTGCAGGGAATGACAATGGCTAGTGTGAAGGGTACATACGGGTGCAACCCCTCCTTACAGCCCTCCACATGAAAGGGAGAGATGGTGCAGTTCATAACCACAGGGTTTTACTGTTAGTCACTATTAACACACAAGGAACATAAAACCAAGTAAAAGCAGTCCCTTTACTCTGGGCTCCAGTGCCATGTTCTGACTCACAAAATCCTCAGGGGAAGAGATATTCTGAAGTTCCTCTTGCCCAACCAGTTCCTCTCACCAGCACCAGATGAGTTAATTCACTGAGGCACCAATAGTCTTGTTTATTGGGGGATAAGGATTGGAAGGAGAAGAGCTACTGTACTTTATTCTTTTCTCTTCACCCACATTCTACCAACTACCAACTCCTTTCCCCCAGGCTTGTGCTCAGCTGGCATGCTGTAGCAGTCATTAAATATTGTGAATATCATCCCTGCTTCTCAAAGCCCCATGCCCGCACCTGCACATACCCTTCCCTGAACACTCCTGCCACCACAAGAGGATGTAGGATCAGAATCAAGTTTTGTTTGAGTGAAAGGAAATTTACTAATGTGCCTTTCCTTACACTCTAGAATGTTAATAAATACATTTTATTTGTTATGTTACCTTTATTTATTATTTACATATTACTTTTATCTTTGGCTAGCTCAAGCGAATTTATGCTACTGATAACCAAGAGTTATAACTCAGAATGATTTTAGTAGAGACCTTAATTTTTTTTACTGGAGTTGGAAGAAACTTTAGAAATCACTCCATCATCTGATAGATGTGAAAACGGAGATACTGAAAGCGAAAGAAACCGATCTGATATCACACAGATGTGTCATATGGAGACTGCATTCACTTCTAGTCTTTCCCCTTCAACATTCTCGCCTCAGTCCACAACCCTCTCATCATGCAAATACGGATGCATTATTTAATGGCAGGCGAAATATTAGTGCTTGCACTACTTACCATGAACATTGTCACTCATAAGGAGAATATAACTGTATTGTAGGGAGAGTCTGTGGCCACTTTGAATCTATTCTTGTTGAATGGCTAGGAGTTTTTTTTACTATGACTGCACACAAATTTACTGCCAAATTAGTGGCTTAAAAATAAAGCATTTTTTAAAATATATCACAGTTTCTATAGGTCAAGAGTTTGGTTACAACATAATAGGGTTTTCTTTAAGGCTGCAAGTGAGGGGTCAGACAGCTCTAGGTTTTCATCCATAGGCTAAACTGGGACATAGTCTGTCTCTAAGCTCATTCTTCCTGGTAGCATTTGTTTTCTTGCTGTTTTAGAACTGAGGTCCCTGACTTATTGCTGGCTGCCCTCAATTTCTAGAGTCTACCACAGTTCCCTGCCATGTGAGCTTCCCCAACATGGACATTTAACTTCATCAAACCAGCAAGAAGAATCTCTAGAGCAGTCTAGCAAAACAGGTCTTACATAAACACAGAATGACAACCCTTTACCTTTGCCATAGTCTACTGGGTAAAAGCAATTCATAGGTCAAAGATCCCACTCATCCTCAAAGAGAGATGCATGAACCAGGAAATGGGGATCATGAGAGGCCACCCTAGTATCGGTCTGCCACAGACACCATACATAGCCAGGCCTGCATATACCCAACTCATTTACCAGAAGAAGGGTGATGGGAAAGTTTTCTGGGAAATTAAAAATATAAGCTCCTTCAGTTCACATGAAAGTGAAAGAGACATTATGAAAATAGAATTGCTGAAATTTGGCAAACATTGAGTTGGTATAGGAAATGGAAGAGAAAGGTGACTCGGGGCTTAGAGCCAGTGACTGGAAAGAGGACAACACTATCACTAAATCTGGGAACTCGAGCAGAATGAGTGAGAAAGGAGGAATCTGAAGAGATTCATTTAAAGTTCCCATAGGACAGTGATGGTGAGCCTTTTGAGCTTGGCATGTCAGCATTTTAAAAAACCCTAACTTAACTCTGGTGCCGTGTCACATATAGAAATTTTTTGATATTTGCAACCACAGTAAAACAAAGACTTATATTTTTGATATTTATTTTATATATTTAAATGCCATTTAACAAAGAAAAATCAACCAAAAAAATGAGTTCGCGTGTCATAGGTTCGCCATCACTGCCATAGGATGTCCACCTGGAGTTGTGGATCTGAAGATAAGGATAGAGGCCTGGGGCACAGATTTGGATAGCATCAACCTAGAAGTAGATGACATTTACTGGTGTGGGAATGGAGGGTACATTTGTATGTAGCAGCAGGAAACCATGTTACACATTCTCCTGCTAAGTCTTTCATATTTCCACTCATACTCCTTAAGCTTGCAAGGTCCTTCATGGTTTAGCACTTGCTTACTTCTCTACATTCTTTGTTTTTTTAAATGTGTTTTTCTTGATTTTAGAAAGAGAGGAAGGAACAGGGAGAGAGAGGGAGAGAAACATGGATATGAGAAAGAAACATGATTGATTGCCTCTGGTACACACCCTGACCAGGGATTGAACTGGCAATCTGGATATGTGCCCTGATCGGGAATCGAACTGGCAATCTTTCTGTTCATGGGATGATGCTTAACCAATGAGCCACACTGACCAGGAGCTCTCTACACTCTTATAGACCCTCTCCCTAGAACTCTATTATACTCCCTGCGCTCTGTTTTCTCTGAGCCTTTGCTTACCATTTTCCACTGCATGAAACACTTCATCTCTCTCTCCATCATTGCATGACTATGTATCCTTTGAATCTCCATGCAGATTATGCCCCTTGGAAAGACTCCCATGACTCCATGAGATAACTTAGGTATTCCCTTTGTGCTTCCAGAGCATGCTGTATAACCCCTTTCTGTAGTTCTAAGTTACTGTATTGTCATTACCTAGTTACCTGTCTCTTCTAGATGACAAGTTTCTTGATGGTAGGCATGGGGTCTAGCCCACAGTTGGACGTCCAGGTCCTAGCATAGTCCTCAGCACACAGAAGATGCTTAATAAGCACCTGTTGAATGAATGAGTGAATGTTAACCTATTTCTCTCTTGTTTAAATTTATTTGTTTACAACTATCAGCAAACTCAATCGAAAAAGGAATTAATGCTTAAGCAGAAAGGAGATCTAATGGCTCATGTGAGCAAAGAAGTCCAGAAGTTATGCTACTCTCGAATGTGATTTAATGCAGATTCCAAATGATGCCATCAGGTTCCTTTGGCTTTGCCTACTCTAGCTTACTTTCATTCATGGGCTGGGTCTCCCTTATCATAGTAGGATGGCTGCATTTGCACCTGGTCTTACATACTTATACATTCATTCTCACTCCCAGAAACCTGTGTAGAAGTTTCCTGGAGTCTCAGTGATTCTAAGAGGAGTCCCTGCCCATTCCTGAACCAGTCACTGTATGTCCAGGAGCATGCAGGACTCTGATTGGCTAGGCTTGGGTCACATGCCATGCCCAGATCTGTTCCATCAAAGCCACTCAGAATGTGGGCAGAGGATGGAGATGGAGGTTGGGAAGGGCTAGACTCTCCAGTCAGAAATCTTGGACTTTTCCTGGAATTTTGATGAGGGCACTCCCCAAAAGCAAATTTCCCTTAAGCAGTGACTAAACAGGGAGATAAGGAGGACAAAGATCAAGCGAAAATTCTAAGTGACATAAAGCAAAGAACTAAAAAAAGAAAAAAAATGCATAGTGTCATCCAGGAAAGAAGACTAATATTTGTTTAGCATCTACCATGTGACAGGAACTTTTCATACATTATCTCATTTAATCCTCACAATAGCCCCAAAACACAGACTTTTTAAATCCCTAGTTGACAGAATCTCAGGGTAAATTGAGTCTCAGAGAGGATACGTGACTCCCCCAGGCCACACAGCTAGTAAGCAGTGCAGCTGGAACAGGAGTTTTCTGGCTTCAAAGAACTGTGTTGTGACAAGAGTTCAGCAAGATGTCTAACCTGGCAAGAGCGCTGAGATGAGTCAGTGCTAAAATGAGGACTGGCCATTTGGAAACAGGAGGTCCCAGCTGACTGTCATGATGGCTGTTTCAGAAATGCTGTGAGGGCCTCGGGGACTGAGCAATGAGCAGGTGGTTACTCTCCCAGGAAGCTTGACAATGAAAAGGGAAAGGTGGTGGCAATAGATACCTGCTTCAGTGTGTCTCCTCAGGCACAAAGTGGTCTCCTCAAAGGCAAGGACCTTATCTGTTTTTATGCCTCCAGCCTAGGAGAGGCCTTGTGCATAGTGCCTATTACTAAGCATTTGTTCAACAAGTAAGTAAATCATGGATTGGATGAATGAAAGAAGAAAAACTATATCCCAAGAGGAAAGGAAGACAGAGAGAGAAATATAAAGATAGGTTAATTTAAACATATTTCTAGGGCACGTACAAAGAGGTTGACAATGAAAGAAAAAGTTGATGAATGAAGCGAAGTCCCTTGTGAGGCTCAAATCCCATGGAGGAATAAGCCTTAGATAAGATTTCAATTTTTTCCTCCCTCAAAGCAAGAGGGAGGGAGGAAAAGATGGGTTGTGATCTTTGGAGCATCTGCGGTGAAGGGGGGAAAAAAATCAAAAGCACTTTTATCTATAGCCCTCAGTTGTCACTGTGAAACAGTAAAGGTGTTTCTTTCTCTAACTCAGCTGCATGTACTTTTCAGGCAGGCCCAACATTTCATCCATGCCTCCTCACCCCCATAGTCCCAAGACATAGAATAGATGCTAAGATAATTGTATAAACTCAATGGGTTGAGTAGAATAAAATTAAATTATCCTATATAATAATGAGCTAATTAGACCGGATGGTGGAACGACCTTCTGGAACAACCAGTGGGCGGGGGATGGGGCCAAGATACAGCTGGGGCTCTAAGAGCCAAGAGGCAGCCGAGGCTGCAGGGGCTTCGAAGGCCTACCCTTGCACGAATTTCGTGCATCAGGCCTCTAGTCTTTTATAAAAATCAGAGCACAGCCTGCAGGAAGGACAGCTACAGTATAATTCTAATTTGGGCTTGTAGGGTGCTGTGAGAAGATGGAGGAGGGTGGAGCAATGGGTACTTGTGATCTCCTCTACAGAATCTTTGCTGAGCAAATAGCTCCTTATCGTTTTCTTTTCTAATACAGGCTGATACCCCACTTATTCAGAACACCTGGGCTTGGGCGGTGATTATTAGGTTGAGCGATGGTAATCACAGGTCTGTCTTGGGAAATGTTAGACTGTGATGTTCAGAGATGAGCAATCAATAGTGATTTACTAAGGTTCTTGTGGGTCAGGGCCTGGGCCTTCCCTCAGTGGGACTGACTCAGCCAGCACTGACCCAGCTGAGTAGGTGACAAAACTGATTGCACCACCCCTGACCACATACCCATTCTGCCCACTCCCTACAGGTCCCTGACAACAGCCAGAAGAGTACATCCTAGGGCTGCTTGGAGTGCCACCAGCTGCAGAAGGTAGCCTGACCTTGAACTCTAACCTGGCTTTAAATTATTCACATCCTAGCATGAGGTAACAGGGAAGATGGATGGCTACTAATTAGAACAATGGTGAAGTGAAGAAATAAAATAATCCACAATGAAAAACTCCCGCCCTTGGCTGTGTTTAATCTCTAATAGGAATAAGGATAAAGTAAATGGTGGGGTGAGGTGGTGGCATCAGCAGGCCCCGCTTTGGATGTGTTCCACTGAGGAGAAACAAAGGAAGGGCACTGGAGAGAAAGGAGTTGAATCCCCTCTTTGTGGGGCAGGGCCAAGGGCAGGCCGGGTTAGGTAGGGAAGCGGAACTCACTGCTTACCTCCAGGGATTTCTGGTCTTCCTGTTTGTACACACAGGTGGTTTATCTCCCTGTAAGCTATTTTGGATTCTTACTTTGCACAGAGTTGGTGTGTGCTTTCTGCTGAGACCCAAAAGGGAGGGGAGGGAAGTTGGGCATTGGAGCCAGCCAAAATGAAGCTCTGGATATATGAATCTTTTACCTAATTTCAAGCAAATAGATCTGCTCTCTTTACTCCTTCCACTCACCTAGCTCTACAGACACAGAGTTTCCATCTTTACCAACAGGTATATGCTTTCCAACTGCCTCTCTACAGTGGAATGTCTATCACAGGAACAAGGGCCAGCCCTGGGCAAAACTATGCACCAACTGAAATGAATCTCCAGCTCCTCTTTCTCTTGTCCCCCCTCCCCCCCCCCACCAACTCCATAGCACAATCTGGTTGTCAAGGAAATCCATCAATTTCTGGATGTAGGGGTGACCTTCTCCTGGTGTATTTTTATTCTAATAAAAGGCCTTATATTTTGATTTCCTGTACATCATCTCATTTGGCCAGCAACCCTGTGAGGAAAGCAGTGATAGTCATATTTCCCAAAAGATATTTTTTGAGCACTTATAAAATGAACTATAATTTACTGAGTATTTTCCATGCCAGCCGCTGTGTATTGCAATGCCTTACATACCTCAATTAATCATGATAACCGCTCCTGAGATTTGGGAGTATCATCCCCATCTTACAGAGGAGAAGCTAGGTCTCAATAACTTCCCAAAGGCCATACAGCCAAGTGGCAAACCAGGATTAAGCCCTGGGTCTGGCCAAGTTCAAATCCTGGGCTTCACCTCCGACACCCTTCTGCCTGTGCTGAAGGCAGGCTACACCTGTGGGCTATTCTCTAATGGGCTTTTCCTGTTTTAAAATGGGAAGTTCAGAGAACTATTTTATGGAACTAACAGAGTTAGGGCTAAAGGCCCATGGGATAAATGATGCCAGAAGACAAATTCCTGCATCTGGAGGGACTGAACCACCAGGCCGCAGTTTCAGACACAGAAATAAGCATGTGACTATCTCCCTTGTACCTCTCAAACCGCTTAATAACACAGGTTTTGCTATCCTAAAGCAGATGGTCCTATGAAACCTTTAGTAAGCTGAAATGGCCTAAAGTGAAGAAGCAACTACTATTAATTTATATGGAAAAAATGTTGAGCATTCCCAGACCCAAAGAATAACCTACCAAATCACACCAAACAGGCTAATTTTGTCCAGTTTTACGCTAAGCATAACACCCTTACAAGCTCTCTTAGGCTCCTCTGATGCCTCAGGGCACATCTTGCTAACAGATGCACAATGTGAACTGAGACACACACAGATGCTCACAGACACAGAGCAAAGCGCTGTGGCTTGATGCTGGGATGCCGCGTGTGGTTCCCCGGAAGGAGCCTGGAGCGGCCACTCCCGCTGCTCGGGTGCGCGCTGCCTCTCTAACAGCTATATTTTGGCTTTGCACTTTTTTTTTTCGTAACAGTGAAAAGCCTCTTCAGATTTCTTTTGATTGGCAAAAACAGGTCTTTTTTTTTTTTTTTTTAAAGTAAGTCTTTTGTAAAAGCCACGTGGCGAAACACAAGCTTTCGAAAAGCGGGGGATTCCTATACCCGACTCTAATAGCTGACTCTTACTTCATTAGCTGAGTCCAGATGAAACGGAAGAATGTCCTGATCCCCCTGCAGCCTGGCTTCCTCCCCTACCATTGCACTGAAATTGCTCCTGTTGAGGTCACCGTGACCTCCTGGCTGAGCTACTTTACTTTGCATTGGCACCTATCTTGGCCCCTCTGCAGCAGCATTTACTGTAATTGCTGACCACTTATTGAAACCCTCCCTCCCTTGACGTTAAGGCAGCAGCCTGTCCTAGTCCTAGTGCTATTTCTTTGGCCTTTCCTTCTCAGCCTCTTTCAAAGGCTCAGGCTTCTCTGACTATATCAGTCATGCAAAAGGCAGAATCCACCCTGGCGAGGGTAAGCAGAAAGGCATAAGTACAGGTATTGACTGGGTTATAGCATCCAGGGGATTCCTGAAGAAGCAGACCCTGGGCGGAGTTACCAGCAACTAAGCCACTCTCAGGAGTGAATTGCCAGGGGAGTTGCTGCTTCTGCCATGATTGCGAAGTGCTTGCTGCACTGGGAAACCGCCCTACAGCTGCCATCCTGACATCTAGCATTGCTGCCCTCCACACCAGCTCAGTGGCTGCCGCCTGCCCAGCCTGCCCCCCCTTCAACACCCCCCTTCTCTGCTCTGAGGTTTGGAGTCTCATGTGAGTGGGTCTAATATGCAGAACCTAAATCACATCCTCAGAAACCCTAGCTATAAGGAGTCTGGGAGATGTCCTTTTAGCTTTGCAGTACAGGAAGTCTTACTGAAAGGTGACTGAAATAGATATTGAGCCCTAACCGGTTTGGCTCAGTGGATAGAGTGTCGGCCTGCGGACTGAAAGGTCCCAGGTTCGATTCCGGTCAAGGGCATGTACCTTCGTTGCGGGCACATCCCCAGTAGGAGGTGTGCAGAAGGCAGCTGATGGATGTTTCTCTCTCATCGATGTTTCTAACTCTCTATCTCTCTCCCTCTCTGTAAAAAATCAATAAAATATATTTTTTAAAAAAATAGATATTGAGTCACAAGTCCCTTGAAATTTTGGTGCTCTTCAGAGTTATGTTCTCAGCTCTTTTTTTTCCTGGTGCTAAGACTATCTTTCATCAACCTCGTGGCTTCAGTCACTATGTGGATTACCTCTAACCTTGAACTCCAGACCTGAATGTCTAGCTGGCTGCTAGGTAGCTCTACTTCCTCTGAAGTCAGCATCCTCCTGTATTTTTTGTATCAGTGAATGGCACCACCATCTAGCTAGTAACTCAAGTCAGAAACCGGGGACAGTGCTCTGTCTCTCGTATGCCTCATATATATCGTTGTGGTGTGCAGTTGGTCTATAATTTTCAGTCCTTTTTCAACTAGCTAGGGGCATCTGACTACCTCCTGGTCAATGTAATCTGAACATAGGTAACATGAGCAAGTTCAGGTGAAACCCATGGAAGTAGTAACCTTTCACACATTACCTGCACTCTTTCCCCATCTGCCAACTGGATGGAGCACTTCAGGGACCTAAAGCAGAGCAGAGCCATAGATGGAAGGAGCCTGGGTCCCTGAATGACTCAATGGAGCTCTGCAGCTCTCAGAACTGATCTGCATTGTACTGTGAAGTGAGGATGTGGGGTCACAAAGTTGCCTTTCAGATCTCCTCCTGGAGGCAACACGATGTACGGGTGCCCCAGTTGGATATATCACTTGGCTACACTTCCCAGGGGCTGCCCCCAATGACGGAGCATGCAGCGCATACAAATTAGAACCCATTCCTGTAAGACACTGGACACTCCTCCAGCAGATGACTTTGACTCAGAAGTTCTCCAATGGTGTGGATGAACTTTTCTGGGAATTACAGTGAAGTCCAGGACTCTTTCTACCCAATCCTCCTTCCCTGTTCCTCTCCTTCATAAGAGTCAAACCTGTCCTGTGGTCTGAAAGCTCTCCTCACCTCCCTTAGCATCTTCCTACTTGTCTTTCACAGGTATTTCCCCCAATAAAGCTCTTGCATGTCTAATCTCATCCTGGTATCTGCTTTTCAGAAGACTCAACTTCAGAAATATATGTTTAATATATTACACCACAGATATTTGTTTTAGTTCCAGTAGTGAGCCTATCTTAATGTGATAATCAAGTTTTAAGTATTTCTAAAAGTTATTCTTTCTCCTCTTTGCAAATGCCTTAGTTTAGGTATCCTGAACTATCCATCTTCTACATCTCATCTTGGTCAGCAACCCAGCTTCTGAGTCCATGTCCACATCACCTTCACAGTGACTGTTCTACTATTGACCACCCATTTTTAAACACCTATACCAGCACTAAATACACGTTCTTTCCCTTATCACAGCAATCCTGCAAGGGAATAATTATTAGCTCCATTTTACATAAAGGGAACTGATTTAGAGAGGTGATATATCTTGCCCTATGTTATATGTCTGGTAACTAACAGAATTGGGATTTGAACCCAGATCTGTCAGCAAAATGTGTGTTCTTTTCACTACCCCAGCATTGCCTGGATTGAAATTTTTTTTCATGTTGCAGTATATCATAAGCAATGACTTTCACATACATTGCCTACTCCCTCGAGTTTATCTAATTTCTAATGCAAATTGAGCTGGAAAGTAGAGCAGATAGACCATAGACTGTTTGGGGAAGGGCTATTATATTCATAAAAGCATATTATAAATATATGTATAAATAAAGTATCCATTTAATGATATTGATGCTCTATGCATGTTTTATTCATTTATATTTTCTCTCTTTTTAAAAATAAAAATATAATCATTGGAAAAAAATAAAGAAAGTGGAAATAAATACAAAACTATAAGTGAACACAGTATTTCAATCTCCACTGGTATGAGAGGTTATATCGGGAGCATCTCTAAAAGCAGGAACAAAGATAAGCTGGGATGCAAGTTGTACATGCGATTTCTGCAGCTCTGGTGATAATTCCAAAATAACATTTAAAAGCAAGTGGCTCAGAGCTCTATTATATGAAGGTATAAAAATGTACCTGTTTTAGTTTATTAAAAGCATGTCATTTATAATCTCAATTCTTTATTATTTTCAAATTTTAAATGCAACTGAGAGAGACAGAAACAAGCTCCATGCATGGGTGTCAGTACACCTCACTGGGCTACCTACAGATCTGATTATACCATGCCCTGCTTAATACCTTTCAGAGGCTCTAAGTCCCATTGAGCATAAGGAGTAAATTCCTCAGACCAGCATTCCAGGCCCACTGTGAACCAGCCCTTGCTTCTCTCCTGTGACAGTCTCCGCATTCACACTCCACTCCTCCAGCCCTGGCAAGCAAGGGACCAGCTCTCCATTGCACCAGGCTCCTCCTGCCTCTGAGTCTTTGCAAATGCCATCCCTGCTGGAGGGAACACCTTCCTTCACTCTTGCCTTCTGAAAACTCTAAGAATTTCTTCACAGACAATTCATGTGTTTTCTTCTCCAAAAAGCTCCTGAAACCATTCTCAGCCATACCCTACTCCCAGGCTGAAGCGGGCACCCTCCCCACTGCTATCCTCTCTTCACCCCTTCCTTCCCTCTGTTGCAGCACACTACTGTCATTTCCTCTCAATTCTCCCCATGAACTGCTTTGACTCAGAGATTGATTTTATGTTAATGTATTACAGTAAGTACTTGGCAAACAAATGTTTGTTAAATGAATGAGTGACTAACAAATAAATTTGGCTTCTCTAGTTCACAATCTATGTATGCCTTCCGTAATTTATAAGGACTATTCCTTTGCCAATAAAAAAAAAAGGGACTCTGCATCCTGTTGTGGACATGTAAGTGTATTATTACTTTAGCTAACATTTTAGGGTCAGAATTTCAGGATCTGAGAGTGGTTATGAACTGGGACTTTTTCAGGGGTCCATGAACTAACTAAAACCATATGCAGACATGTGTTTGTACGTATGTGCACAAGTGTTCACCTCATGCCCATGTGTGCTTCCTTCCCAGGCAGGTCCACAGGGATCCTTGGAAAGGACACGTGGAACACGGCCAGGTCTATTTCAGACAAAACACCATGGAAAACAAGCTCATGGAAAATGAAGACTGAGAACGGGAGAGGTGGTCATAAGAATATGAAGATGGCAGCTCCGAAGAAGGGATAATTTATACATTTTAATTTATTATTGGGTTCTTATCATCTGGTGAGGTATATCACCATCAAAAACAGCATTAAAATAGTATAATGTATTTACCAATTCAAGTACGACAGCGTCAAAATTTACATTCCCCCTGCACTCCCAGCAAGGAGTCTGTGTTTGCCCTTTTCATGCTGTTGAGGGTAATAAGCAATGAGGACAGGAAAACTGACAGGTGCAAAGAAAGACTAAATTGATTTACATACATAAAACCGATTTGCATAGATACTTGGGGAAGGAAGGACTAAATCCAGAGGTGGAGTTTTGCCAGCAGCGGAAAAGAAAGATTTGGAAAGCAGCAGCTTGGGAGGAAGAAACCTAGTAGAGAGCTGTCCAAACAGGCTATTTAGGAAGTGTAATACTTTTTAGGAAGTGTGAGGAAATGTCCCCGGCCACATTTCCACCAGGCGTTGGTGAAGACATAAGTGATTCTTAAGGTCGTGGGTGTCAGATTTATGTTCCTTTTCAGCGTGGGTGCCGTGTGTCCATAAGCCTCCAAGCAGAAGCACACAGGCCTCGAGTTATTTGTGCAGGTTATACAGGTTTGCCTGTTTGTTCTGCTAAATCGCAGCCTGGAGTCGTCACCTGACACACCTATTTTTGGTCTGGGTTGGGTAGGCTGAGGGGAGGTGAGTCATGAGGAACTCACTGACCCCTATCAGCAGTTCCACTGACCAACCTGCTCCAAGTTTCTGTTTGTTTTGTGGGAGGTCTCGGCCCTTCTTCAGATGGGGAAACTGCCTCAGGAGAACCACTGAGTCTCTGGACAAAAGAACACAAAGGATGTCACCATTTCCTCCTGAGCCATTTTGAGAACAGTCACTCGATTTCTTTTACTATTAAAATATAACTGTAACAGCTTTAAAAATGTTTGCAGGGGATGCTGTAGTGTGCTGCCCAGATCCAGGTCTGGATTCCTTCAGCTGCTGGGAGGGTAGATGGCTGACAGTACCCAGTCCAGAGCTCATGGTGAGAGCTGTCACTATAGAATTAAGTTATTTGATAATAAGGAGAATGATAATAAGCCTGAAATATTAGAGGTCAGGTGGCAGTGCTTAACCATTAGATGCCAGCGAAATCCTTCCCCTGTGATTACCCTCTGTGGATGTGAGCCACTTTATCCAAAGTTATGTCCCCTTCCCAGGGACTACCTACACTCAATGACTGGTCAACGCCCTCAGTTTGAGGACAATTTATCTGGGCCCTCTCTGTTCCAGAGGCCCTCATGGAACCTGCCGCGGCTGATACTGTGACGGCATCACAGCCAAACTTCTCTTGCTCAATCCTGCTTCTTCACACTCCTATACGTGTTGATCCAAGAGCATCCTCCAATAAGGCTTCTGTTGGTAAACTCCACTGCCAAACCTGCCTCCAGATGCTAGAGCTGGGCCACCACTAGCTGACTGGAAGTAAGGACCCCACTGGGGGAGGTTGGTAGAGCATGGACAAAGCCGGGCACACAGCAGCAATGAGACTGCTGCCATACCTTTGGGAGGGAATGCACTGGCCTGGGAAATGGAGGCAGTATGTGAGCAGTATGGGGGCCTTAGTGATTAGGAGGACAATGGTATCAGATGGCTGTTGCTGGGGGAACGCAGTGTTCTGGAGAAAGAAAAGGAAAGGCTGGGTGAGGGTGATTAATCAGCAGTTAAAGGCTAAACATAAAAACCAGAGGGCCGTCTTGGCAGATTACAATGGGATTTCATCTCTTATAGCTGGAGGGTAGATAAAGCTGAAGATTTGGATTTAAGCATCAAGTAGCAGAGCTCCAGAAAAGATTAAATCCCCAGTGGCAGGTCTGCTATACCTAGATCTAAGCTCTAATGGGGAAAGAGTGGGACATTGATAAATGGGATATGGGTGTTTGGGTTAATGCAACGAAAACTTTGTATCTGCATATCCCCCAGAAGCCTCTAGGGCCTGCAGAAAGGGCCCACTCCTCCCTGTCAACGGCCAGTGCTCATCAGTCACTTGAGGACAGTGCCTACGCCCCTGCCTTGCAAGACATGTGCTGCCCTCAGATCTGCTACTATCATTTCCCTTCCTGGCAGTAGACCCATTATAATCCACTGTAAGTAATAACACAACCCATTAAGTCGCAACAAACCCAGTCAGGGAAGCACTGGGTCTGCTAAAGGAGGAAAAGGAACTGGGCCCTGAAGGAGCCGCAGCTTCTGGCTAATACTCTACCAGCAGAGCTAAGAGAGCATGTATAGGCTTAGATTCTGAGGGTGTGGAATCAAGGGGGAAGTAAAACATAAATTTGGCCAAGGAATTGTTGATTGATATGGGAGCATTCTCCTGGACTACAGCATTCGTAAGCTCTGGCTGGGACCCCAGCACACACCGCTAGGATGGAAATTAGACACTCACAGAACGTGATGTCCACACTCAGTTAAGAGTAAGTGCCAGACATCTTTTGCAGATGGTGGAAAAAGAAGCAAATGTTTCATAGAAGAGGGCGTGCATAAATGGGTTTATTATATGAGGCTGCAAACCCCACCAGAAGACTATTTTCCCTGAGAGGGCTCAAAAAACACTCCCTTTACCAAAGCAGTTAGAAAGGACCTAGTGAGAGGGACTCAGATTCACTGATAAATGCACTGGTGGCTGTCCTGTATAGTCCAGAGCTCATGGTAAGAGATGTCATTACAGAACTGGGCTCTTTGATATAATAATGAGGATGATAATAGTCTGAAATATTAGAGGTCAGGTGGCAGTGCTTAACTATTAAAGAAGCAAAGTGGGTTCAATTATTTGTAGTGAGAGGCAAGGTTGGGGAGGGGCCTGACCCACAGGAAGCTATGGAGATGGTTAAGAACAGAGCATCCTTGTGGGCAATATAGGTGGACAACCGATAAGAGCATTGTTCAGTCTACTCGATCAAAATGATCAAGGGCAGCTGCCCCAATAAAAACTCGATCCTTTGCTCAGTTTCCAGATCTGCGTCAGTTTTCACAGCCAGAACCCTTGACTGAGCCACAGAAGACACCAAGCACTGGGCAGACAGAATGACTCAGCCAGTTGACGTCAGCCATCCTCTGTGTTGTGCCTCAGTGTTGCCACACAACGAAAAGCCATGGTGGCTGGGATGGAGGCTATGCAAGGGCTCAAAAGAATGGGCTCCCATTCACCAAGACTGCTCCAGCTACTGCTGCTACCAAATTTCCAAAATGCCAGGCAATAGGGACTAACTCTATGTCCCTAATACGGCACCATCCCTTGAGGGAGGCCCAACAGCCAATTAGTGGCAAGTTGACTTCATTGAACTCCTTCCACCCTAGAAGGGGCAATAATTCGCCTTGTCATGTTGACTGAAATCAATAAATAGTCCAGCTCTGAGTTTGCCTTTCCTGTTTACAGGGCCCCGGAGAGCACCATTTTCCAAGGGCTTACAGAGAGTTTAATCACTCACAGGGGATCCTACAAAAGATCACACTGGAAAAAGAAATACACTTTATAGCAAATGAGATAGTGAGTGCAAAACAATGGGACCCACTGGCCTTTTCCCAGACTTAACAGATAGAGCAACGGAATGACTTGTTCAGGAGTGTTCTGTGCAGGGCTCAGCCTGTGAATAATAATGCTAGAAATCCCCGGGCCCGGTAAGCTTCTCACGGGTGTATCCCCTGTTTCCAAACCAATGTTGGAACAACGCTTGCAATTCTTATTATGATTCCAAGTTGCCTTTCAGTACTCACAATCGGGAAACTTTGAAGGAAAGGAAAGTTTATTATTCACAAGTCCTAAAGCATCCAAGGCATGAACAGCAAAGTTGCTCATAGAGGGTGAGCAGAGGGCTGGGGTTGTAAAACACAATACAAACAGACCCACTTCACAGTGGAGTTGGAGCTGCCATCCCAGAGGAAACCCCATGCGCATCTTACCTTTGGAATGTTAAAACTAGGCAAAATAACCTTTGAACTGAGCCTAAAGCAACATTGCATCTGAAACAACTGTTCGCTATGATTACAGAACGGAAAAGGGGACTATCTGACTGAAAACTAAAGACATTTTTTAGAATTAACATCATATGCTAGCTTATCTGCCATCATATCAGGACAAGACACTGATTCATTCCCCCAGCTGCTGGGAGTGCTGTTTACTTAAGACTCCTGGCTAAATTCCTCCTAAGAAATTGTTCTCAGACAATGGGAAGTGATACTCCAAGGGTCAATGGTATCCAAGGACAGATTTATGCAGGACTACAAATGCTTGGCCCTCTTCTCTCAATTTAAGACAACTCTAAAAACCAGTTCAGTTAAGAACTCATGGAATTGGCTGAAGCTTTGTTGCGACTGCATTTTACTTCGACTTCTCCCTCTATTCAATTTTGTTTCCTTCACTCCAGTATAGGTGTGACTCCTAAGAGTATTCCTCAGCAAACTTCTTGCTCTCAAATTTCTGTCTCAGAATCTGTCTCTTGGGGAACCCAATCGTCAAAGGGTATTTCTTCTTTTGTTGGAGGCAAACCTCACACATTCAACTAGAATAAATTTTAGCTGAATCAAAGCTTTGAATGTAAAATTTTTAAAAGTTAAACTATACATGTAGTGGAAGAAACTAGAGAATTTTTTATACCCTTAATTGGTTTAAGTATCTGAGGAAAGAGGAAAGATACGAATATATAAAATGGAGTCACTTTAACCAAGCTGCTAAAAGTATGAACATTATGAAGGTTGAGTCATGAGAAGAGACTCCATTCCTGTTCTAACTCACCTAGAAACTTAAACTTTTTAAAATTTTCCAATCCTGAGTCAATGCCTGGATATACATCCAGATAACCCTCTAATTGCCCCCAAATACACACATATCCAGTCACCTGATTTTTGCCTGAAGGACTCACGTATACATCCACCTGACATCCATCATCCTGACTGCCTGACATCTGACTGATAACCATTCTGGACCAATCCATCCTAAGAATGCAGGACTGATAATTCTCAAGAATGTACTTTTTGCTATAAGAACTTTTAACTTTTCTTAGGAACACTTCCTGGTTTTTGCATAGCTGTTTCCAGTTTATAAACACTAAGATCTTGAATAAGTCTCTCTCTACCATTTACTTCTAGCAAAGCCTCCAGACTCTTTTTGAGTTTGACCTATCAAAACCCATTTTTTTTAGAAAAAGATGGACTTTTTCACATTAAAATAAAATTCTGATGAATGGATAAACAAAATGTTGCATATATATACATATATATGGTTTACTGTACACTTGTGTTTGTACAGTAAATATATATATATACATATATATATATATATATGCACAATGGAATATTATTCAGCTTTAAAAAGGAAGGAAATTCTGACACATGCTACAACATGGATGAACCCTGAAGACACGGTGTTAAATGAAATAAGCCAGGGACAAAGGGCAACTGCTGTCTGATTACATTTGAATGAGATACCTAGAGAGTCAAATTCATGGAGACAGAGAGTGAAATGGAAGGTACCAGGACATAGGGAGAGGGAGAAATGGAAAATTATTATTTAAGTAGTGACCCAGTACACAAATTCGTGCACTTTGAAAGGAAATTAATTAGAAGGTGGCTGGCAGGGTGGGACTGGGCGAGAGGGGCCGGACATGCCCTGCAGCCAACCTCCTGCGGTCCCTCCCTGGCCAGCCACACATGGGGTGTCACCATGGCTCGAAAGGTGTCTGCAGAGTGAGTGGGGTCCCTCCAGCAGGTGGGGTCCCTCGGCCTGGCCCGTGGGGATGGGGCTAAAACAGGCTCTCCAACATCCCCCAAGGATTCCCAGAATGAAAGAAGACACTCTGCAAAGTTGCTGTCGTACAGGGTGTGGAACACAAACACAAGTGTACAGTAAACCAGATTCAGGGACCACAGTGCCCCAGCAACAACATAACCCACGGCTAAAGGTGGAATCGTGCAGCCCTGTGCGAGGAATCGGGGCTCCCTCCTCTCTGGTTTCAGGGTGCATCACCCGAGAACCACCGCTGCCAAGTCACTGCAGCTCGGCAGATCCTGCATTGAGCATCTTCCCCTGGTGGTCAGTGCTCGTTACAGCGACTAGTCAGACAGTGGGACACTTAGTGTATTAGCCTTTTATATATATAGATAGACTAGTGGCCCGGTGCACAAAATTTGTGCATGGGGGGGTGGGGAGGAAGGTTCCCTCAGCCCAGCCTGCATTCTCTCCAGTTGCAATCTGAGAACACTGGCTCCTAACCACTCATCTGCCTGCCTGCCTGATTGCCCCTAACCCCTCTGCCAGCCTGATCGCCCCCAACTGCCCTCCCTTGTTGGCCTGATCCCCCTAACTGCTCTCCCCTGCCGGCCTGATTGCCCCTAACTGCCTCTACCTCGGCCCCGTCACCGTGGCTTTGTCCAGAAGGTCTTCGGAAGGTCTCCCGGTCTAATTAGCATATTACTCTTTTATTAGTATAGCTGGGTACAGAGTTTCTGTTTGGGATTCCTGTCCTAGAAATGGATAGTGGCAATGGTTGCACAATATAGTGACTGTTCTTAATCACTGAATTGTACACTTATAAATGGTTAAAATGATAACCATTTTAACATAATAAATAAGTAAAATTCTGTTTGGACAACCCACCAAAGTGAAAAGAAACAAAATATTTGAAATGTCTATCAGAACAAAGAATTTATCTACAAAGCAATAAGGAAAAGGCCCAAAGCACAATAGAAAAATGGGGAAATGAACAAAGAAGTCACACAAAAAATAAAATGGTTCTTAGATAAATAAAAAATACATTCAAGTTCATTCATAAAGAGATATACAATTCAAATCACATTGAGATTCCACCTTACAAACCTATTAGGTTAGCTGAGATAAAAAAAAAAAAAAGTTTGTAAGATGGTCCTGGCCTGTGTTTCTCAGTGGTTAGAGTGTAGACCCGCACAACAAAGGGTGAAGGGTTCAATTCCTGATCAAGGGTACATACCTGGATTTTAGGTTCACTCCCCATGTCCTTTTCTCTTTCTCCCTCTCTCTCTCCTTCCCTCCCTTCCTTCTTTCCATTCTCTCTGAAAAGCAAAGGAAAAAATATGCTCTGGTGAGGATTAACAACAACAAAAAGTTTGTAAGATAATAAATGTTTACTGTTTTAAGTAAAAAAAAAAAAAGTAGTGGGATTGTGGAATGGGAAACATGAGTGGGCATTTCCTCTTTCACAAGCAGCAAATGACAGTCAAACCACACATGATGTCCACATTTCTCCTGGATATCCTGCGAAACTGGCAAGTTAGCCCCGAAGTGCATGGCCAGAACCTAGACATGGATATCTAAAGACCATCTATTTCTCACCTTCTCTCTCGAATTCTGAAACCAGCCAAAGTAAAGGCATCTTAGTGATTCATAACAACCATCTGCAGAGGGGACAAAGGTGCTTTCTTCTCTGATCAGGGGAAGAATTAATGAGCTGTTTTGTATTGCTAACTTCTCAGTCAGGATGCCAAGATGGCTCTTTGCCTTGCACCTGAACTGTGGCCAGTAATCCATTCTGACCTCTCTTAAATTCTTAATAGCAGCTTCAATGACTGTGAAAGTTTCGGGGCAACTTTTTGAGCCTTAAATATGCACAAATAAATTAGATGGCTATTCAATATTGGGCATGCTGATCTGTATCTGTAATACAATAGATAGGATATATGCATTTTTTACATTGTCCTGTGAATTCAATTTTGTAAGATTTATGAGATGGTGAATATGTTTGCACTTGAATTAAATTAAAAACAGTGGCCATCATCTATCATGTACACTTAATTTAGACGTTAAGGCCATAATTTTCCATTTTTATAGCAGAGTATGCCTTTATCCCTCAAGATCATGTCAAGGGCACCAAATTGCGCTTAGATCACCCAGGACATTTTGTTTCCACTGGGTGGTTCCACATGGAAGGCTATCACAACTAAATTTCATCAGGGATGTCAGTTCTGCAATGTGGCCTCTAAGCCCAGTTTTCATACCCTGGAGAACTCTATGACCTTCACGGTATTTAAAAAAGAAATCCCCTTTGTGTTTAAATCAGCCAGAGTTGGCTTCTGTAGCTTACTACAGAGAACCCGGATTGATATATACATCTCATACGTCAGTAAAATGTGAGTAGTGATAATTACATTTACTATGTTAAACAGCTGGTCTAAATACCTTTCTTGCTAATATTACCAAGAAAATTATTTCACATTTTTAAATTAAATTAATTTGTATGGCACTACAAAAGACCTCAAGTACCCAAAGCAATCTTGAAAAACAAAGCTGTAGATATCAACTCTGGGATGGTGGCTATATAGTGACTGTTCTTAATCACTGAATTGTACACTTACAAATGGTTAAAATGATAATTTTTATTTATATTTTACCTCAATAATAAATAAGTAAAATTCTGTTTGGCAAAACCCACCAAAATGAAAAGAAACAAAATATATGAAACTTCTATCAGAACAAAGAATTAATTTATCTACAAAGCAATAAGGAAAAGGTTCAAAGAACAATAAAAAAATGGGGAAGTTCACTTTATGAGTGAACTTGAATGTATTTTTATATGAGTGAACTTGAATGTATTTTTATATATCTAAGAGCTATTTTATTTTTTGTTCTGGAGTTCTGAAAAAAATGTATACCTACATTTTCACATTATTTCTCACATATCCACCATCTCATAAATCTTACAAAATTAATTTCAAACTCTGTATAGAGCTACAATAATAAAAAATAGCATGGTATCAGCATAAAAACAGATACATAGATTAATGGAACAAAATAGAGAGCCCAGAAATAAACCCATATATATATGGCCAATTAATATACAACAAAGGAGCCAAGAATATACACAAGGAAAAGACAATGTCTTTAATAAATGGTGTTGGGGAAACTAGACAGCCACATGCAAAGAATAAAACTGGACCACTATCTTACATTAGATACAAAAATTAATTCAAGATAAAGTAAAGATTTGAATGTAAACCTGAAACAATAAAACCCCTAGAAGAAAACATGGGAAAAACCTCCTTGACATAGATGTTGGAAATGATTTTTTTAATTTGATACCAAAAGCAAAGGCAACAAAAGCTAAAATACACAAGTGGGACTACATCAAACTAAGAAACACAGTGAACTATCAATAAAATAAAAAGGCGACCTACTGAATGGGAGAAAATATTTGCAAATTATATATCTGATAGGGGGTTAATATCCAAAATAATAAAGAATGCATACAATTTAATAGCAAGAAAACAAACAATCTGATTTAAAAATGGGCAGAGGATCTGAAGACATTTTTCTAAATAAGACATACTGATGGCCAACAGGTACTTGAAAAAATGCTCGATATCAGTAATCATCAGGGAAATGCAAATCAAAACCACAATGAGATATCACCTCACACCTATAGAAATGGCTGTCATAAGAAAGACAAGCAGTGCCCTAACCGGTTTGGCTCAGTGGATGGAGCTTCAGCCTGTGGACTCAAGGGTCCCAGGTTCGATTCCGGGCAAGGGCATGTACCTTGGTTGCGGGCACATACCCAGTGGGGAGTGTGCAGGAGGCAGCTGATCGATGTTTCTCTCTCATCGATGTTTCTGACTCTCTCTCTACCCCTCTCCCTTCCTCTCTGTAAAAAAATCAATAAAACATTTTTTTTTATAAAGAGAAGCAGTAATAAGTGTTGGAGAGGATGTGAAGAAAAGGGAACCCTTGTGCACTGTTGGTGGGGTTAGAAACTGGTGCAGCAGCTATGGACACCAGTATGGAGGGTCCTAAAAAATTAAAAATAGAACTACCATATCATCCAGCAATTCCATTTCTAGGTATTTATACAAAGAAAAACAAACCCTAATTCAAAAGTACCATCTTCACTGCAACATTATAATAGCCCAGATATGGAAACAACCTATATGTCCATCAACGGATGATAGGACAAAGAAAAGGTGGTATAGATTTGCAATGGAAAATTGTTCAGCCATAAAAGGAATGAAATCTTGCCATCTGTACACCCAGCAGCACTGAGAGCCTCTACAGTGATTAATGCTCAGATGATGCTGTATCGGGCAGCATGAGAAAAATGATAGCAATATTTGGGACCAAAACACAGTCCTAATTTTCTCCCTCTGTGCCCCTATTTTCCATCCTTGCAATGGAGATTGAATAATTGTGTCTTGATTTAGAGAGAAAAAAATGTACATTCATGGTCTAATTACCTCAGATTCTCAATGATAAATAATGCAAAGTAAATTCATGGCTCAAATTGTTCTGGAGTTTTGAAAAAAATGTATACCTATGTTTTCACATTATTTTTCCAATTTAAGATTATTTAATGAACAGAGGGGTGCATATATCTTTGTGAATACAGGATTTTGAGGTGTTCAGAGAGGGATTGCTGGGTCGTATGGTAGCTCTATTCTTGATTTTTTGAGGAATCACCAGACTGCTTTCCATAGTGGTCGTACTGGAAACAACCAAAGTGTCCTGCAATAGAGGACTGGGTAAAAAAGATGTGGTACATATACACAATGGTATACTACTCAGCCATAAGAAAGGATGAAATAGCGCCACTTGCAACAACATGGATGGACCTTGAGAACATATGCTAACTGAAATAAGTCAGACAGAAAAAGCTAAGGCCCATATGATTTCACTCATATGTGGGATATAAAACTGAAACTCGTGAATACAAACAGCAGTGTGGTGGTGGCCATAGGGAAGGGGGTGGGGGAGAAGGGGGGCCTAATATATGGTGACAGGAGAAGATTTGACTTTGGGTGGTGAGCACATGGTGCAATACATAGATTTTGTAACATAGAAACCCACACCTGCAACCTATACAAGCATATTAACCAATGTCACCCCAATAAATTTAATAAAAAAGGAAATATCAGGAAAAGAACAAGGATTATTTAGTGAATCCATGTCAGATTATCTATGCTTTCTCACCTATGCCAGCTATGGTTAAAACCCCGAATACTTCAAATTTAATAAGGTGTAGTAATGGACATAAGAGAATAAAAAATAGGATCCTGCTTTTGAAGAGCACTTAGAATCTCAACTGTGGATGACTGTGAGGGTTCGCAGAGCAGTCTCCCTAAAACTCATCTCTGTTTTCCCCAGTTCACCATCTACCCTGCAGTTCATCTCCCATTGCTTTCATCATGTCTCACCAGCTACTGTCAATGGCTCCCCATTACTATCAGAACAGTTTTCAAGGCCCTCTACGTTATGGTCTGAACCTACCCATCTAATTTAGTCTTCCACCATTTCCAAGTGATAATCAGACAGCCAGGCCAGTGTTTCAACTTTCTGAGACCAGCAAACCTATCTTTACACCTGGCTTCTCCTCACGCTGCTCCCCCAACTCAGAAAGCACAGCCCCACTTGTCCATCTAACCAAATCCTGCCTATCACTCGTCTTCCTTGAAATGCTCTCAACCCCTTCCTTATAGATCCATGTCTCTTTTCTGATTTCCTTTTGTTTTTGTTTGAAGACTTCATCTTTTTTAGAGTAGCTTGAGGTTCACAGCAAAATTGAGAGGAAGGTACAGAGATTTCTCACACATGCATAATCTCCCCCATTATCAACATCTCCCATCAGAGTGGTGTATTTGTCACAACTGATGAACCTACATTGACACATCATTATCACCCCAAAGCCTTAGTTTATATTAGGGTTCACTCTTGGTGGTTATTTTATGGATTTGGACAAATGTATAATGCCATATATCCACCATTCCAGTATCATAGAGAGTATTATTATTTCCTTTTAAATCTAGGCATTGCTACTTACTTGCTCTAAGAGTGTGTCCTTCCTCTCTCATTTATTAAACATACTAGGGGCCCAGTGCATGAATTCGTGCACCTTGAAAGAAACTGTGGGCCGCAAGGCTGTGGTACCCACCACAGGGTACAGGGGCAGGTCTCGGCCCATCCTCCGTGCCCCCAACTGGCCCCTCCCACCACGGGCCCTGGTCCCCTGTGTGCCGGCAG